AGCATCAGCTTGGGTAGTCGTCAAAGAATCGAAGCCGAAGTTCAACAAAGGAGTCGAAGAAGCGACTCATGCGTAATATCTATACCGTCTGTTAAGCGACGAAGCCGAATAACAAAAAGAGAGTCGAAGGAGTAAAGTCGAACAGCCAATAAGGAACCCAAGGAGCGGCCCGTGCAATTTCTACACCTTCTGTGAATTGAAGGAGTGAAGTCAAACGGCGACAGGGGAGCCAAATAAGCGTTCGTGCAATCTCTATTCCTCCTGCAAAGAAAGGGAGTCGGACAGTAAAAGGAACCGAGGAAGCAACTCGCGCAATCTGTACCATCTGCGAAGCAATGGAGCCGAACAGCTACAAGAAGCCGAAGAAGCGACGTGCGCCGCCTCTGCGAAGCAACGAAACCGAACAGCAATGATGAAAAGAGAAGATGAAAGACGAACCCTATACCTCTCGTCTTTGCTTCCAGCCGAACAGATGAATAGGGAGAATGAATGCCAATGAGCGGTCTTTGGGGAGGTTTTATACAGTGTGGGAAGTTAGAGGAGCGAAGAAGTGCATCGTTTAGAGAGATCGCACAAGGTGGGGCCGGCTCGGAGGCATGTTCGTTACTTTGCATCTCTTCAAAAAAAAATTCTTTTATGAAGTCAACAAATAGACTCTTAAGAATTTATAGAATGGTTGCAAAATAATTTATAATATGGTTGTAAATTCTCATCAATTTGTCAGTTTCCACTTAGAAAGAACTAAGTCAAAAAGACTTTTTGGATATTAACAATAAATAAAAAAGACGTTACATATGCAAAATTACAAAATGAGAATGAAATGAATACCTGAAATGTACTATTTTTTCATATATGAATAATAAATAACTAAAAGCTAGACTTATAGCAAACTCAACAACATGCCTATAAAAGCCTAATGCAAACTGAGCAACAAAAATAACACATCTTTTAAGTGCAGAGCAAAATATTTGCAATTAAATCCATAAACAAACAAATTAAGCTTGTCAGCTTGCACTTGAATGTTGTATGAGAAAGCATGCAAGAAATGAACAAAGAATGAAAACATATGTGAACATTTAAATGACGTATTCATTAAAAAGTGAGATTAATTGAATATAAATAAATTTTAAATGCATAATATAAAACTCAATTCAGATTGCTCTGCATAATGATGCAGGCAAATTAGAAAGAAAGAGCCAAAAGAGGAGAACACTAAGACTAGTAGAACAAAACTCAATTCGAACTAGAATGCTGACATCCAAAACAAACATCAAGACAAACGAAAGCCGAACAAACGAAACAAAATTTAAAAATAAAAACACTATCCTCATAACAATCGGCAAGTGGTTTCCTCACATGCAACAAAAAATAGATAAAATAATATAAATGCTTAAGGGCTTGCAAACCAAGGGTCCACCACAGCAACAAGGTCCAACGTCCAACAAAACTCCTCCAGCAAATGTCACCAAATCAGCCAACAAACACCTTCCAATAGCTCAAGAAGAAAGATACAAGTGGAGTGGAACTTGCGTGGAGAAGAAGAGATTAGAAGCCCAAGACGAAATAGAGAGAAAAAAGCGAAAAATGGAACAAGCTCTCAAGCTTTTCCAAGAAGGAAGAAGAAACCCTCAATTTTTATAGACTTTTTCTCAAGATAATCAACAACCTTTCTTGTCTCAAAACATCTACAATTTCAGCCAAACAGCCAATCAACCTCCAACCGAACCAATCAGGTAAGGGGAGCTAGAAGGCCAAAAGTAATTCCAGAATAGCACCCAAAAAGGCCACACAGAAAACAGGGAAAAGTAACCATGGGACAAACAGTCACGGGAAGAACCGAAGGGGCAACACAGGGGATCGGAACCAGCAACCAGGGGGAACAGAACAGCCACCACAGGGAACCGGAACCAGCAGCCAGACAGGGAAAATCAAAGACACACAAAGAAAAGAAAGAGGCAAGATTCCACTCCACATAATGAGCTAACAAGTAGAATAACTTTTCATATGAGCTAAACATTAGCTTAAGCATTTATGAGCTAGAATCAAGTAGCTCCCAAAGAAAACAGCCCAAACCCGAGCAGCCAAGGCCCAACCTGAGAAGCAACCAGCAGCCCAAAGACCAAAGAAACCAAGTAGCTAGCACACCTGATCCTATATATGCAACGGTGGAGTTAACAAGAACTATAATGTAATATATATCTTATTTAACTCAAATGCTACACATAAACCTTTGAATCCAACCCTCAAAGATGTAGAATTGTCAAGCTACAACTCAGTGAAGTTCAATCAGTTAAGTACCTGTATTATGGGCGTGTTTCTCGCACATCATAATCAGAGAGATCTTCTCAATCTAAAAGACACACTTCAATCCCTCATTATGATGAGTAAGTTTATCATACAACTACGGTTCAGCCCAATTCGGCCCAGTTCAAACGTATAGGAGGCAGGATAAGCCGCCCCCTTTAAGAGTCTCCGCCTAAGCAAGTGCCACCCCCCTCCCCCCGGCGGCAATGAGAGAGAGAGAGAGGGTTGCTTAAACATGTGGAGGATAATTTCAATTTATTTTATATTATGAAGCTTTTATTATGAGGTGGGGCATTTAAAAGCACGAGAAGCTAGGATTAGGGTTTTATGTTTTGATTATTGTTTCTCTTGGAGTTCTCTTGGCGACTTTGGGCTCTAGATTCATCATCTAGAGATTGGGAGAGAACGATCCTCCTCTCGAATTGAGGATCAATTGTATCTTTGCTTGTTCTTGCCATTGTTTTTATTCCTATAATGCAATCTACTATTTATTTTAGGTTTTCATAGGACATCTAGAAGTTTTCTTGCTTTTTTCACCAATTCTTATTAGGGTTGCTTACGAACTCAAGTACTTCCCATTAGGGTTACTTGCGAACTAGAGTATTTCCTATCAAATTGGTATCAGAGCAATTCCTGGACCATTGTGGGCTGAATTTTTCAAAAATTCAATGAAGGAATTTTGATTGAAAGGAGAGAACTTGCTAAAATTTAAATCTAATATCCAGATTTTTGTTTTGACAACCAAGAAAGTTGATGCATTGGAGGAACGTTTCGAATAAGAGATGAGCCAAAATAAAGCCACAATGGAAGATCAACTCTCATCCGTGTAAGGCAAGGTTTCATCGATGGAAGACAAAGTTTTTGATCTTCATCTGATGATAAAGATCTGATGATGAAGATCTGATGATGAAGAAGACCTTCAAGAATCAAATTCAAATGGGGACGTCGGAGGCAAAGCGACCAGTGGAAAGAATTCTGATGTTAGTAGAAGGTAAAGCGATGGAGAAATCATGGAGAAGAAAGGGAGAAGGTATGAAGAGAGGCGTGGGAATAGGGAACATGATGAAAGGGGGCTGGTTGGGAGAGAAAAGAGGGGAATATGGAAGGAAGGTTGCTGATTTTGGAGAAAAGAAGGGACAAAGTGAAGAAGGGTTTGAAGATGAATTTGTAAGAGAAGGCCGGGAGACATGGGGGGAACAAAGCACTTGGGAAAAGGAGAAATATGACGAGATACGAGGAAACAGGGGAGATGTAAAGGTGACGAAGATGAAGATGCCAATATTTGAAGGAGATGATGCCTTTGGGTGGATCTACGAGGTCGAGAGGTATTTCGCCATAAATGGGTTGACAGATGATGAGAAATTGGCAGTCGCGGGCCTATGTTTGGAGGGGAAAGCATTATCATGGTATCAATGGAGGGAAAAGAGGAGGCCTATAAAAAGCTGGAAAGCGTTCAAAGACCATTTATCGGAATGTTTCCAAACCGACGGGGGAGGAGACTTCTATAAGCATTTTTTCGCACTGGCACAGGAGGGATCAGTGGCAGACTACGGAGGGCGCTTCGAGCATCTGGCTAGTCGGGTGGAACGATTATCAGAGTTGACTTTGAGGGAAATTTCATGAAGGGACTCAAGGCAGACATCAGAGCAGTGATGAAAGTAATGATGCCTCGTGACTTGGGAGAGGCCATGAAGTTGACACAACAAGTGGAAAATCAGAAGAACCAAGAAAGGGAATCCAGGAGCAGTAATTCAGGAGGCATGTACCGAAAGACGACTACTCATTTAGCACCCAAGGGGCCGACAGCAGGAGGGTTTCGTGAGACCACCAAGTAGAAGACATTGGGAGGAAGTGGGGGCAATTTCACGAGGCTGACGGAGAATGAGATGCAGGAGAAGAGGGCAAAGGGGTTGTCTTTCAGGTGATGAGAAATACACTCCAAGGCATAGGTTTAGGGACCAAACACTTCAGGCTCTCACCGTCTGTGTAAAACCCGAAAATGCTATTTTAGGCTTCGCACGCTTTTTAAAGCGCCGCGACGAGAATTTAGTGAAATTTTCAACGTTAACGGAATTCAACGAAATTAATTTTAGAAAATCCCTTGCGAAATTCTGAGCATTTTGATGTATAGAACTTAAACATAATTTTGCCTAATTAGAGAGTTATTAATTTTTAAAGTTTCTAAATACCCATTTTACCCTCAATCGTTTCTTAAACCGAAATTGCTTAAGTGAGGGTAATATAGTCATTTAGCAAACCCCAATTCCTCTTAATAGACAAACCGAAACCCCTTCTTTCTCATTTCACGCGTGAACCGCACGAAACAAGAGGGACGGACATCGGGCAAGGGGCGACGGGCGGCTTCGTGAGGGCACTCCGGCGACGATCTTCCGGCGAAACTTCTAGGTCAAATCGAAGAGGACGACGAGAGGGTTACTCCGGTATGATTCTTTTCAAACGAATCCCTCTCGATCTCTAGATTTTTTGAAAAGAAAATTCTTGGATTTTATAAAATTTTGGAATTTCTTCGAAATCTCTTTACGAAATCTTTAAGGAATATTTAGAGGATTGTTTTGGCAATAAAAACATAGAGATTTGAGGAGATTTTTGGAGATTTATAAGTTAGGGTTTTTTACCTAAAACTTAATTTCGTAAAACACCTATACGAAAATTATTTCTAAGGGTATTGGGAATGATTTTAATGCAGAAATTTTGATTTTGGACTAAAACTTTATTTTCACTAATTTTCATGATTTTTTTAATCCGAAAATTATTATATTATTATTAATATATGTTAAGGACCAATTTTGAAACAATGATTTGATGAAATTGAAGATTTATAGATTTTTTAAAATTAGGTATTTATTAAATCCGAAAATTCAAATTAATTTAATTAAATATCCTTTAAATGTCGTAAGGAATGGTTAAGGGAAAATGTCAGGTTTAGCAATTAGACTTAGGAAAGTTGATTTCTATTGATGTGACACGTTTACTTTATAAACTTTTAGGTGGTGATCATTAAGGTGTGAAGTGAAAGACTTTGTCGAAGTGACGTACCGTAATTGCTTTGAGGTAGGTGTTCAGAACCCAGTTAAATTTATAAGTGCTTTAAAATTTTTATGCTTAGAATGCAATTTCATGTAATTATTTTCTTGTCAAATATTTTATTTACTGTCAAATGTTTTGATATTCATGTTTTAAAGTACCCTACAGTTTCATGCTTACATTTCATGCATTCTTGAAAAGAAATTAAGGTATATGAATAAATGAAATAAATATGAAAGGAAATTGAAAGGAAACGAAAAGATTTAAATGGAATAAAATTTTCATGTTGCATGTTGATCCGGAAGTACCAAAATGGTAATGGTAAAGGGGCTTACAAAAGTCAAATGATAATGGGGCTTGTAAAAGCCAAATCGAAAAGGAAATGGCCAAAAAAATTTGACTGCGTACCTGATCAGTACGAAAAAGGGGTACTTCCGGGACGGGTGATACATTTAGCATAATCATTTTGCACTTTGCATTGCATATGAAAAAGATTAAAGAAAAGAATGAAAGGATATCAATGTTTATGGAAAAGAAAAATGACATTTTATGTTATGACTTGTTTAATTAAATGAATTAGTTTCTAATTGTAAATATTTTTAATTTATGCATCTAATGAAATTAACTTTGCTATGAATTACCTGCTGAGCATTGGCTCAATCCTCGTTGTGGAAATATTTTTCAGGAGAGAAGTAATGGCTGCACGACGACCTTATACTTATCGTCGTAGGGGACCTCAGGAGGAAGAAAGGTTCCATTTATTTTTATGTTTTAAGTCTAAGTTTGAGTTTGTAACTGAGTATGAACAGTAAGTGAAGTTTATGTAATGATGTGTTGAAAGTTTTTAATGATCTTGAGACAATTGAACTGGTTGGAACTATCTGAGTTTATTGTTGTTAGTGGGTTTTTCTTATACTGGATGATGATTATGTTGTCTAATTAAAGTTTTTAATTAGAACTGTTTATGTTTTATTATAGTTTTCTGTACGACCTTTTTTGCTCCCGCCCCGTTAACTCGGTCTAGCCGGGTCGGGTCGTGACAAGAGTGGTATCAGAGCAAGCGTTTAATACTGATTAATGAAAGAGCCTATAGGATGATTGATTGAGTCTTAGAATGTGTATGAAGTGTAATTTTATAATTATTTGTGACTTATGATTGATGTGTTTTATCTCAAAAGTATAGACCCTGAGCAGAATGCTACTGATGGCATTAATATGGAGGAAGGGATGGAGCTACCAAAGGTAGCAGAACCTCGAAGAAACGACACTATGGAGTCCTTCGCGCAGATGATGGAGGCGATGACTCAGATGATTAAGACTTCCCAAAATCAGGGCAGTGGCAGTGGAAGTGGAAGCAGGCCTATGGATAAGAACCTGAAGTTGTTTCAGGATATGAAGCCTCTACTATTTTCAGGTGGCGGACCTATAGAAGCAGAAGACTGGCTGATGCGGATTGAGAAGATCCTGGAGGGCATGTCTTGCCCTGAGGAAAGGAGGGTGACATTGGCTGCTTATGCATTTGATGGCGAGGCTGAGAGGTGGTGGAGTCAGTTAGAAGAAACATTTGGAGGAAGACCAAGCAGCCAAGTCTACTGGGAGGAATTTGTGAAGGTATTCAGAGACTGGTATGTACCTAAGTCAGCCAGGAGACAGATGCAGGACAAGTTCAACAGATTGGTTCAAGGAGACCGATCTGTTTCTCAGTACGAGGCAGAGTTCACGATGTTATCCATGTATGCCACACACCTGATACTTGATGCTGAAGAGAAGTGCAACCGATTCCTGAATGGATTGAAGGATGTGATTAGACAGCCTCTCATTCCTTTTGGAATTGAGGATTACCCTACTTTTGTGGAAAGAGCCAGAAGGATTGAGATGGATATGCTGGCAACTCAGAAGAGGAGGGATTTTTAGAAAAGGAAGATGGAAGGCAGGTCAAACCCTTCCCAGATGACCAGTCTTCTCAGTCAGGAGCTTCTACTTGGAAGAAGCCCAGATCCAGTGGTTCTGATAGCAGTGCTTCAACTGCTACATTGTGCAGTAAATGTGGGGGAGTGCATAAGGGAGAGTGCCTCTCAGGCACTAATACTTGTTACTGGTGCCATCAGCCTGGGCACATGGCGAAATCTTGTCTTCTTTTGGGTCAGCGATCTACTACAGATGTGAGGTCAGGCAATAATGCTCAGAGAACAGCTGGTAGACCAAGAGCTGTGGAGTTTACAGCTTCTGTTCCTTCTCAAGGTCAGACTCGTCAGAATGTTCAGCCACGAGTCTATAGACTGTCCCAGCAAGAAGCTAAGGGGTCTCCTGATGTGGTTACAGGTGAGTAGTTTAATTAATTACAATGAATTTTTTTTTTATGAAATTGAAATGAACAATGAATGAAAATGAAATGAACCAATCAATGAATAATATGTTTTGTAAATGAATGTTGCACTTTGCATTGCATATAAATCCATGGTTTCTCTTAAAACCATGGTGAGGAATATACAAGTGATGAGTAAAGGATATTTGGTGGAGTTGCACAGTTTGGAGGGAGCTAGAGTGGAGAGAGGGGGCAAACCCCTCTCCATACTACCATTAATTCAGCGATTTCAGGAGTTGTTTCAGTCGCCTCAAGGAATTCCACCACTGAGGGAACAGAAGCACGCCATCGCCTTGAGGGAATGTGTGTCACCCATCAGCATTACGCCCTACCGATACTCTCAATTTCAAAAGGATGAGATTGAGAAACTAATCTGGGAAATGCTATAGGCTGGGATTATCTGGCCGAGTGTGAGTCCTTTCTCTAATCCAATCTAACTGGTCAAGAAAAAGGATGGGAGCTGACAGTTTTTTGAGGACTATAGAGCGTTGAACAAAGAGACAGGTCTGGATAAGTTCTCAATTCCTATGATTGATGAGCTCTTGGATGAACTGAATGGAGTTGTGATGTTCTCCAAACTGGATTTGAAGTCTGGTTACCATTAGATCAAAATGAGAGAGACAGACTAATGCAGGACTACAACGCTTTAGATGAATGCAAAAGGAACTTGCACAATTTCTTGAATAAAATAATTAAGATTAAAACTTTTAGCAATCAAAACAATAAGAGAAAACGTGAAAGGAGTGACTACGCTTAGGCCAAGTCACATGTCAAATGCTTGGATTATCAAAATAACCTAGAATTACAATAGCACGCAAATTAAGTAGCTTTCAAACAAAATCCCTACGCTAACAATGAGATTAGAGGCATAGAAGGCTAAGCTCAATTCCAACGATTATTAGGCTTGGCAGAGACAGGTGAACAAGACCTTCATGAATCAAATCAAATCACAAGAGAGAGTTAAATTACAAAAATACAACAGTAGGAAGATTGGAAAACCTTTGTCACGGTTTGGAAGTAATCCACCACTGAACAGCACCAAGTTGCTCATCTATGGCTTCTATGAGAGTATCTAGAATACGCTCCAAGTATTCGTCGATGGTGTTGTCATTATTCGGATTGACGTCGAAGAAAGTGGAGTGAAGGATGTGAACGAAACATTCCTCGTCATAGGCAAGGCCGTAATAAAGATCAGGACCTGCCATGCATCAATCTCGTTGTGTTAAAGTGTTGAATGAGGTGACCCTTTGTTGTCCTTACCGTTTTCCCTTGAAAGAGAGAGATTTCTCTCAAGAATCTAAGTAGGAGAAGGTAAGAGAAGGTGGTCGGCCAAGGAAAGAGGTTTTGGGAAATTAGGTTCAAATTTTGGGAGATTTAAGCAGAAGGAAATTTAATTCAAACAACTTCCTTCTAAATCCCTTGATTGAAATAATCAAGGAAGGGGGAAGGGAGAGAGGGGCCGGCGGCAAAGGTGAGAGGGAGGGGTTTGAAGTTAATTCCAAAAGGAGAGAATCTCCTTTGGCAAGAAATTAAACAAGTGGGGCCTAGAAGATTTCGATCAAAGGAGGTGGATAGGAATTAGAAAATGTTTCCAAGAGAGGGCTTAGGAGATTTGGAAATAAATCCTAAGGGATTTAATTATGGGGCCAGCGACATCATGGGTTAGGAGGGATTGAGGGGAGAGAAATTAAGGTTTCTTAATTTGGGTTTAGGAACTAGGAAAGGTTTAATTAAATCCAAATCAAATTTGAAATTCAAAAGGATTTAATTTAGGAACCCTCCTAAATTAGATTTCTTAAATTAGGAAAGAATTTTCAAATTCAAATTATTTTGAAATTTGAAATTAAACCTTCCCAAATTAAAAGTAATCATTTATGGAATGTATTCAAGTGGTGATTTCAATTTTGGAGGGAGGAGGAAGGAGATGGGGCCGGCGGCTTAGTGGGCTTTGTGGGGAATTTTGGTGGGGTGATGGTGGGGGTTTGTTTGGTCGGTGGTTTGGGTGGTGGAGGGGGTTTAATTGGCGGGTGGTGGTGAGAAGTTAAGTGGCCGACGGCTAAGGGTTTGGGGAAGGCCTTGGCCGGCATCTAGGAGATGAGAGAGGGAGGACAAAGAGATAATGAAGAGAAACAACGAACCCAACTGTCTCCATGGTTGGTGGGTGTTCCGATTTCCCTCTCCTAAAGATTTCTCTCTCAAACACTCTCAAGATCTCGCAAAGAAATCAAGCAAGGGAAAAATTTCATCATTCATTCCTTGACATGAAAAGAGACCAATAGGGCTATATATAGCCTCGTGCAAATGAATCAACAAAATAAAAAGAAGACGATGCCCTTTGAGCTTACATACAACCTCCCTTAAGTAAAAGGTAAAAGCGGAAACACTAATAAAACAAATACAACATAAAATAATAAAGAAAAATGCATAATACGACTCAGAAGTACATCGACTCAATCATGGTTGTAGATTGATGGCCACATCTCTGATAGACTTTCCAAGCTCTGATTTTCCCATCACAGACATCTCCAAGACAGCTTTCAAGGCACACGAGGGTATTATGAGTTCCTAGTGATGTCGTTTGGGCTTAGCAGCGCCCCTGCTATATTCCCGTCACTGATGAAAAGGGTGTTCAGGCGGTACCTCTATAAGTTTATCGGAGATAGTTTTAAAAAATGAAAATTCAATCAATCATCCGACCATCTTTTTCCTCGTTAGTTTGATCTACTGGGCCTGGCCGTGATAAAAAATATTGAACCAGACCATAACATTCTAACAAAATTATGGTGAAATGTCTCCATAGTGTATTATCTGACATCTAATTTACTTTTTGAAATTTCACTAGAGAATATAATCATATTATTATATTAGTTTGGCAGGAATTTTCGTAGCACATAAGATTGTAGAGTTAAGAGAAGCAAGAATAAAAGTTTATTGCACAAAGAGATAAGACTTCTACACTACATCACTGTAAGAAAAAAAGATGGTTTTTTTTTTAAAGTTGCTTAGCTAGCAATAAAATTTGGCAGATCAAGTTACTTATTTTTTCTTTCTTGAGCCTTTCTTACAGATAAACATTCAGGTTGACAATAAATTCTACAAATTAAAGAATAAAGACACACATAAACTCTAGTGAAATAAACAAAAAAACTAAGAAAGAAGTCTTAAGCTGTGAGATGATACAATTACCTGAGTTTAATAGGAACATGATGGCCGGCTATAGCTAAGATGTGAAGAAGTTTTTCTTTCGCTAAAAAGACAGAAGTATCAAAAAATAACTTCAGTAACAAATCCTCAGATCCCTTCAGCAGTGATGGAAACAGCTTAACGATAAACTAGGCAAGGAAAAAGATTTTACAGTTGTTAACGTAGAACAGCTATTTTCCTCATAAGAAAAGAAGCAAATAAGTAAAAAGAAAAGAAAGACAACAAAAGCAGGAAAAGAAGCAAATAAGTAACAAAAAACAAAGTTAATAAATCAGAGGGCACATTAACATCAGTATAAATTATTAGACGAGCTACAAAGCCTGTAACTACTGCACTACCGGACTTTGGAATTCGTAATGTTCGAACAAATTGCAGTTAATTACTACTAGATGCTTTTTTCCAGTGGCTCACTCTCTTTTGTATAAATGCAAGTAAAAAGAGGTTGGAGTAACTCCAGTAGTTGATAAGATTAGAGAGAGTCGCCTTAAATGGTTTGGTCACAAAAAATGGTGGCCTTCTGATGACCCGGTTAGAAAAGTTGACATATTAAATTTGACTTAATTTAAGAAAGATAGAGATAAACTTAAAAAGACTTGATTAGAAAATATTAGAAATGACCATTCTTTATTAGATTTAGATGAGAATTTGACTCTTAACATGACACAATGGAGAAAAATGATTCATGTAGCCGACCCCACATAGTGTGATAAAGACTTGTTATTGATGTTGTTGTTGTTATTGTATAAATACAAGCTATGATGCACCGACACTCCGTTTTAAGAGGCAGTGCAGTGTCGGACACGTGTCGAACACGAACACGAGCCCGACACGGCGGGGACACATGTCTGACACGTTTTGAGCATGTCCAGAAATTTTAAAAAAAAACTTAAGCCGGACACGCGTGTCCGGCTATTTCATATTTTAAATAAATAAAAAATAAAAAACATAAGGCATAAGCACCGGTTCACTCCTATTCCGCCCTAATCCCGCATTATTTCTGCTATTTGCTTTCACTGGAGCGAAAGAGTATTCCGCGACTCTTCCTTGAGCAGTCGTCGCCGCGAGCAGCCGCGTCGTCGCCCCTTCGAGCAGCGTCGTCGCCGCGAGCAGCCGCACCGTCTTCATGCGATTCTTCCTTGTGCGTTCCGTCGAGTGAGCCATCGGCCCTAAATAAGTTTCTATAAGTTAGATTTTGATTTTTTTTTTTTTTTTACCATTCATCATTTCTCTCAATTTTTTCTCATTTTATATATATATATATATATATATGTATGTATATATAATCATTTTGTCAAAAAATATTGTTCTATCAAAAAAAGATCATTATTCATGTTTCTAGTGAAGAATACGTAGAAGATACCTATACAAAGGTTCTAGTACCACTTGAACTCTCTAATCTTTCAACCAAGCAAGCACTTCATGATATATGCCCAGCTTGAAGATGAGTATTATCGCACCGATTAGAAAACCAATAAAGAGAACATTCTCTACAATTCTTTCATTAGTATGTAATATATTCTCACAATTGAGAATCTGTCTTGTTATATCTCATCTCCATTCTGATGTGTTTTTATTCTCCTATATATAGACAAAATTCAATTGAGAGTAGAAAAACAATTTTTTTTTAACCTTATTAGCCTGAACATAAAAAAACTGCAATGTGTACAGTTTGCAATTTAACAGTGAAAAACAAAAAAATAAACAAGGCTGACAAGACTCAAGTAAGAACACACAGAGAATCAATTAGATAATTGTTAAGGTTGTCGAACTTCCAGTAACAATCTTGAGCCCAAATTGTCCCAAGGAGCAAAGACTACTTTTTCTTTGCCCCTTAAACCCGTTTTATGGGAAAGTGTGTTAACCAATAAGAAAAAAGATCCTATAAACCAAAGAGCATTGGGACGTAGCCCAAATTGACCTATATTTCATGATGAAGCTAGTGCATTGTACAAAAAAATGGAAATCAAAGTGCAAGCAAATTACTTTTTATCTCACTGGACAAAATAACTTAAAACAAATTGATCTCGTGTAGAAATATGGTTGTGAACTCAACACCACGAAAGCTGATTAGAATAATAAAAGGCAATAAAATACTCACTAGTAAAAGTTCAATGGAATACTCCACACTTTTATCTCCGCTACCTTGCCTGGAAAAAATATCCTCCAAAATACTTTGAACAAGCTCTGCATTAAATATTGTATATGAGCATCTCAAAGAAAAGATCCTGAAAAACTCATTATCCGGATGCTTTTTCCCAATCCTCTCAAGAAAAGAATCCTGAAGAAAAAAAGAATCATCAAACATTAGTATGATGATGAAACAAGTGAGATGTTATACCGCAAAAATCATCAAGATAAAAAACAAATAATTATGTGAGATTAATTAGGCCAAAGCTCAATTAATCTAACTAATTAAATGTAGTAATTATAAAAAATAATTAAAAAGGTATTTGAGAGCATCCACGCCAATAAAATACATCAAAATAACAGTTAATTAAGATTAATGATCAAATCCATTTAGATCAATTTCATCAACTGAAAACTAGCTACGGACAAATAAATGATAAATATATAATAATAAATAACATAAAATTTCAAGTATAATCATAATACCAAGTGAAGCCGAGATTTCACGAATACAACTAAATATTATTATTAGAAATATAACATAATATTAGTGATAAGAATTGATTTGGTGTTTCCTTCTAAAATATGTTCTAAATTTATATATTTCAAAAAAAAGCATCTAATAAAGGAATCACCTAGATCCATTGGGTGATATTGAAGAGAAAAGGAAGAGGACGAAAGATTAACTCTGGTGGGTCCCAATTGACAAAATTAAGAATGTGTTGGATATTCGTGGCTAGAGGCAGAAGTCTTGCTGGGTAAGATGACACTTTAAGAGGAAGAGATATAGGATGTGAGACTCTGCGGTGTTTCATCACCACCACCCTGGACAGGTGATTTTCCCATCTCTTCCCTGTTCCCCCCCCCCCCAAAAAAAAAAAAAAAATAAGTGAAAGAATATATGACATCCATTTCAAATTTGCTACACATCACCCTTGACACGTGTTGCGTCTTGACTAGCTAAAGAAGGGCTCCAACGAGTTATTTCCGGGCAAGGCAAGTAATGTCAAGTGGACAAGGGAGAGTGTGCTTGGTCAAATCTCTAGGCGAGCTCTAACACAAGAGGGGATTGATGGTAATGTGCTGAATGACATGGCCAACGACTTGTTTAGAAATTTTGTATATCATCTGAGAAGAGGGAGGCGAGCAAGGTGATGTCACGGGAAGGAAGAGCTTCGGCTCGGATGGTAGCAACAAGTCAAACTAACGGACCCATAGGTAAGCGCCTTCAAGAAATTCATACGCATACCATACGCATACCATACACATACCATACGCATACCATACGCAAAACTAATAGGATTATGAGTTCCTAACAATTGCAGTTTTTATCTTAGCTTAAACTTCTTCAAGCATTCATACAAAAAATCTCTCTTCTCAGAACTCAGACTCGGAATACCTTTGTAATTTACTATTTCATTTACATAATCAGGAATTAGTAAATGTCATCTACTGGTATTGGTTCATTTGAATTTGTGTATGAAATTAGTTGTATTTCAGTTGGGATTTACTCATTTCTAGATGGGATTGGCTCATTTTAGGGGATTAGTTTATTAGGGCTGGAGGGAGGAATATATGATTTATATTTCTTATTGGAAGATGGAAATAGTAGCTAACAGATCATTTCTGAGAAAATATTTTACTCTGATCAATGTGATTATTGAGCTTGACCTCCATAACTTCAACTCTTTTAGCTAGATCTTCAAACTTTCTGCTCAGCCTACCTTCAAATTCAAGAAAGAGTTTTGTACAGGTTTCATGGCAGGATTTGATTATTTTTTCTTGGAGAAATTTCATTGCTTCAGCAGAAAAACTAAAGTGTGGTTGCTGAGAAGATTAATGGGGGTCTTGCTGAGGAGGTGGGATATGATGGGGAGATTGGGGGTTTGATGGGTGGATATTTCATGAGGGGAATCAGGGGATGAAGGGCTATCTGATAGATATTTCTTAACATTAACCAAATCAATTTCAACATGAAAAACTCCCTAGAGGACATTAAAAATCTGACTTTTTGTTATATTAACAAATAAATCAGTCACCACCTCTATAGTATATACAATATCATTGGCCCATCATAGAAAACTGGGCCTTTTTTCAACATGCATAGGAGTATGAAAAGAAGTATACTCTAGGAACCAAATCTGCATAAGATGAAAAAAAATTTAAGCAAATGAATTATAAAAATTAAATAAAATTTTGAAAGAATTTAGCACATAGCAGTTAGCACTCATAATTAGCAGAGGTACAAAACCGTTGATGTAACCTGCTGGCTTCTTATTTGAAATCTTGGAGGAGGCCTTATTAAACACTCCAATTAAAAATTCTCTAATCGAACCAGCCCAGTTTATTGACAAAAATCATATAAATTATTTGTTATTTTTTGAAGCAACTGAAGGGGTTTTAAAGTTGTTAAGTTGAAAAAGTAAATTTGAACATAAATACATGATAAATGTTTTTAACAGTCTCGGAGGGGGGGGTTGATTGTTCAACTCCAGCATGTCTGTCTTAATTTCTAATGATGTAATTAAAGTATGTGTTAAGGAAAGTCATGATATTTTTTCTCCTTTATTTGGCAGACCACTAAGAAGGGCCACTTCATCAGCAATGAAAGGAATGGGCTGACCTTTTAGAATAAAGCATTGCTTTGAAATGTTCCACCTTGAGATCAGCTCATAAATAAGAGGGTCATTTTGCTCAAACCCAAGAAATTGTAAAAATTGTATGATCTTTAAACGTTTCAATGTATCCACGACTTCAGGAAAAATTTACTGAGCAAAATTATCACAGATTGTTCGAAAAGTCGAAAACATAACATCGATAGACGATAGGTAATTGGACGAACAGATATTTGAAAAATAAAAAAATAAAAACATATAAAATAAGTAAAAAAGATACGCACAAAAAACGCACAACATACGCATAAAGTACGCACAACATAAACAAAGATCACGCACAACATACGCATAGAGTACTCACATCATACGCACAAGCACGCACAATATACGCATAGAGTACTAAGTGCTTATGCCAGCATACGCACATCCTACGCACAAAATTGGCACAAACTACTATATTTTAAAAGTTTAGGGTTTAATTGTTAAAAACTTAAAATTTAATTAATCTTTAGGTTTTAAATTTCAACATAAATTCATAAACCCTAAATACAGAGAAAATACGATGGCATCAAAATATCAAACATTTAAAAAGTTTCGAGAAGCAACACATACGCATAGCGTAAGCATAAAATAGGAAGAACTTCAAAACCCTGAACACCTACGCATAGCATAAACATAAAATACGCAGAACTTGAATAGAAAGCAAATTACCTTTCTCTTTGGTAGGTGACAACATCTGAGAAGGAACTGAGTGAATCCTTGAAATTGCTCTGGAGTGAATCATTGAAACGTTTGCTGGAAGTTGAAAACCAAAACAGCGCGTATACTTTAAAATTTTTCTGCCATTTTACCTTTACCAGGATTTAAATGTTGATGCCACGTCAACATCTCACTAGGCAATCCAGGACTCCACGTCAGCAATTGAGCGTCCGAACTGTATATATTAGGTTCCTTTTTTTAGAGGCGACACCTCAAAAATGTGAGGCAAGGCGCCTCAGTAAACTTGTGGCGTAAGCCTCAAAATCTGAACTTATTGCGTGGGCTTTGAGGCTTAAAGGGACCATATTACGCTGAGACGCGCCTTCAGGCGCGCCTTTTATTGCGCAATTTTAAACCATAACCGACTCTAAATCTCAAACCTTCTCAAAGTTTTGCAGCTTCACCAAGTAGCCTAGCCCCCTTCCCTATATCACCTTTGACCATGATTTTGAGTAAAATCATGATTCTGTACAGGCTGTCATCTCCACGCAACACCACCCTCTTCCCCTTCACCTGAATCTCCATAGTCAAAGATTTCCAATCCACCTTCGTCTCCCCAATCATCTATAACCACTTCATCCATAGGATCATATCAGTGTTCCTAAATCCAGGGAAAGAAAATCCTCCAATATCATTATGCCCTAAAGTGTCATCACCAACCTCCTACACACCTCCCTACTCTTTTCCACCTTCCCTATCCTCAGCATGCCTCCAAAGCTCCCCATCTCCACTATATTCAATCCCAACAAGTTCACAACTTGATTTGAGATGAAGTTGTGAGTAGCCCTGCTATCCACCAAGGCCTCACTAGTCGCTCCCTTTGATGATGATGCCTTGAACTCAAATTTTAGAATAAAATACTTATTGATCAATTAAAATTTGTCAAATATCTGAATTTTGCTTATGCTATGAGTGCTAGCAAAATAATGGGATTCATCTTCCTCATTGCATCCCATGTAATGTACGGGTGTGAGGGGTCTCATGGATCAATACATGAAAAACATAATAGAAAGACGGGAAGACATGCCTACAATATAGAAGCTCACCCCAAAGAATGCCAAGGAGACCCGAATACAAGTATGCATAGATGTAGGAAGATTTTTTTATGAAAATGGTATCCCGATTAACGTTGTAAACTCTCATTTTATTACAACATGATCCGTTCAATTGGACCATATGAGCAACGGTTGAAACCTCCATTCGTAAATGATTTGAGGACAAACATTTTAAAAGATAATTTAGCAAATAGTGAGAGAGGTATTGAGGAAATTAAGAGAACTTAGAGCTAAAAAGTTGTTGCCGTATTGTCTGATAGATGGTCAGATGTAAAGGGCATAGATTTGATAAATATTTTGATCAATAACCCTTATAGCATAGTGCTATAGAAGTCCATCAATGCATCTGATCAACAAAATAATGCTTGAGTTTCTTTTTGGAATGTTTGATGGTGCTATTGAAGAGATTAGGGAGCATTTAATGGTTCACGTGGTAACAAATAATACTAGTCTTATAAGGCCGCCAGGGCCAAATTTATAGAAAAAATGAAGGATTTATTGGTCTCTTGTGCTGCAAAATGTATTGATCTAACTTTTGAGAAACTTGGGGAGCTACCACAACAAAAGAATGCACTAACAAAAGATATAAGTAAATTAATATATAATCATTTTTGGGTTTTGACACTCATAATTATGATTTTTAAGAAAGAAATACTTAAGGTTGTAGCTAATATTTGTCACTACCTATTTAACATTGCAGAGCATGTTGGAGTTGACATAGTCTTCGGACGCTATGTTCGCCGAGGCAATATAAGTATCCTTTCTTAGCACTTGAGATGTTCTGGACGCGATCAGGTAGTACATTTTGGGAACAAAAAATGTTCAAGCAATTTTGCACAATACGGTGCACATGATTTGATGTTTTCGACCACTTCCACTACGGTTGATCGTGAGAGATCATTCTTAGTTAATTTTGAAGTTATGAATGCAATTGTGTGATATGTTTCATAATTGGAGGTCATTCGAAGAAGTTCACATGTCGGCATGCTCGTAGTTCATCGCTTTTGTCGTCAGTTCCAGCTGCGAACGAAGTGTGCACCTTCAATGATTTCAAAGTTTTGAATGCGTAGTGGAGGTTATCTTTGCAAGAGAACGACGTCTCGGGTGATTTCACGCAACCTCAGGGGTATGTCGAACTCGACATTGAGGCGGGATTTCAGTTGATCGGCACACACGTTGGATGTCACCACATTGAACATGGGATTAATTTCAAGGGTCAACAAGATGGTAGCAAACACTTTATATTGACATTGACGCTTTGATCACCTCTTTCAAATAGAATTGATAAAGGTGAATAGAGAAGTTGTAGAGAAAAAATCATTGTAACGAGGGAAAAATAAGAATTTTCTGTCAGATGCTCTACTTCTGAACCATCTATAACTTATACTAGAAATTTCTTCACAAATAAAACCTGCATCAATGGGGGAATTGCAAACACATTATTATAGCACTTGGATTGCCATGACGTGACTTGAATGCTCCGACTAACAAGGTGGGAAGAAAAAGTCGGATGATAGTAACAGTTTAATTCATAGCATAAACAAATTAACATACAACTTCTCAAAGCAACTAAAAAGCCACTAATTTCAAAAATATTTTATTCAATCTATGTCAAAATTAAACATTTATATCAGTCATAATTTAATGCATCATCTTCTATAAATATACTCTTCTTTTTCTGTCATTTCTAATTCTTTAGAGATATACCTGAAACATTAATTTAGTGGGTTGAGTTTATCATGTAAACTCAGTAGGTAATCATTATTAATTATAAAACAGTAACACATGTATATCAATATATATATACATCTTCATATGTTTATTTCTTTCTTAATACAAAATTCATATACATACATCTTTCATATATTATCAGCCTTATAATTTGAATAAGTTCTTTTATATTCAATCATAGAAGCAACGATGTATATGAAAGTATACGAATATGTAAAAGAAAATGCATGTAAAGAGAATTCATACAAAGGAAAAGGAAATGGAAAGTAAATCTACTAATCATTTATATATATATATATATATATATATATATATATATATATATATAAATGATTAGTAGATTTACTTTCCATTTCCTTTTCCTTTGTATGAATTCTCTTTACATGCATTTTCTTTTACATATTCGTATACTTTCATATACATCGTTTCTTCCATATGTAATAGTTTCCAAAACAATTCATGACTCTTAAAACATTTACATAACATGTTCCTTATAAAATAAAATAGAAAAAAATACAATAAAAATAGATTCCGTAAAAACCCAATTTGATCTTTCAAATCTTTGATCATTGGTATAACCTCAATTTTCAATTTTCCTTATCCTTGTTGAATTATTAATGTATCGAACTTTAAAAAAAAAAAAATTTAATGAATCGAAGTTCTACAACTTCTGATATCTTTTTTTCCAAAATCGCTAAAATTGTACAATAAAATTGTCATGAAAACTTGATTTAAATAATAAAATTTAATAACAATTACACGATAGAAAATTAACTTACAATAGGGATTTTATTAAAATTTCAAAATCCTTCCTCTTTTTCTCCAAAAATTCCTTCTCCTTGCTTTCAATCTCTTCCTTTATCTTCAATTTAATATTCCCACTTATTAAATGAAGAATTAGGAAGCACATTTATAAAAAATTTAAAAATGAACCTTCTTCCTTCCTTCTCCTTGTTGTTCTTCTCATTCATCGTCGTTTTTTCCAAATCTCTGCTTCTTTAGCAATAAGAATGAGAAGTTGGTAATTCGTATCCCTAAACACAATCAATTGCTAAAAATGGAAAAATGATCTCAAAATTTCTTCCCTTGCACGAGTTCGCTCCACCCAGTCATTCGCCCTTCTGTTCTGTTTGCACGTCTATTCGTGAGGAGGTTACGGGGTTAATAGAGTTTGGCCGGCCGGTTCACTTGATACCGGTCTGGTCAAACCGGTCTTTACATGGATGGAAAATGTTTAGAGGCAAAAGATATAGATAGAGACCCATCAATTAGAATCATAGGTTGGAAAATAAATGAAGTCATAAATTCAAATTGCTGGAAACTCTTTTGTTCAACCAACAGAACGCACGAAGCAGAATATTCAACTTTAACAACAAATGCATAGTATGAAAGGTAAAACAAATAGTTAACTCACTCGGATAGAATTGGCAGCTGCAAGGGTTGTATGTTCATCAACCAATTGTTGAAGCAACTTGAAAATGAAACCATCTTTCATGTTATGTAGCTTTTGTAAACATTCTTTAGCTTTTGAAGAATCAAAAAAACATGTCGCCACCTTTGAAAAGGATTCCAAAAGTTTGATTTGAACTTCCTCAGACTCAGTTTCCTTTAAGCAATTAGAGAAATCAATTGAAAAAGTAGACTAACTGAAGTACTTCAAAGTCATTAAATAACCTTAATAATCAATCAATCCTAAAGATCAGGACCAACTGTATTTAAGTAAGAAATACCTCACAGAAAAGATAGCATTAGAATCACCAAGAAAAAGTTGCATTCAAAGTACTAGGATGCAAAACGTATGGGAAAGCAGTATGTATAAGAGAATAGAAACCAAAATTGTTTGTACACATAAAATAGTTATCAACAACAACAACAAATCTTTATCCTACATAGTTATACATATATAGAAATTCGGTAGTGTTCTAACTTGGGAAAATGAGATAATGAATATAGCTGGAAAATCCTGATAAGGATCGATAAAAGAAATGTCATAAAGCTAAAAGAATTTTGAATTTTAGATAGATAGACTATTGCCATTTCAATATGTAGTGTATTTGCCTGTGGCACAAGTAATTCCATAATTTGTTTTTTTATGTACAGAATATAAATTCCCCCCTTTTATAGGCTTTATGTTGATCTCTTACATGAGGCCAGACATAAATGTAGCCAATTTCACCACATCAATTTTAATGTTAGAAAAGAAGAGGCTGGGCAATTTTAAATGCAACCCAGCTTTCCATATTAGTGATGTAAGACCCCGATTGAAGTAGCTGCTCCCAACGCTTGAGAAATCCCAAACCGAAGGCCAGTTCTTCTCCTCTGTAGTCCTGTACAAAAACAAAAGAATTCGCCGCAATCAATTCCAATACCTGGAAGTCGAAAAAGATGCAGGAGACGAAGGAGCTCATCGTTTCGACGCCAAGAAACGAGAAAGACAAAGTAGCGTCCGCTACCTAAAAGAGGAAAGAAAGTTTTATCATTCTCCATCAGGGAAGTGAAGTGCTGGTGATGACGACATCAGTCAGAGATTTTGACATGTGAACCATCCACGGAATCGTAGATCGACGGCTACGATTCGGAGCCTTTACTTTTGATGCATTTTATGTTTTGTTATTTTTGCATCTCAATTTTCCTATTTTACCCCTATGGGGAGTGAGTCTTTATATTAGCCCAGAGGGTATTTGCATCTTTCTGTTTTTCTTTAGTAATGAGGCCTATTTATATAGAGGTCTTTGCTTGTATGAGATGATGATGATTAATAAAAATTTCAGATTTCTATCTCCTACTTTCTTGTGAGTTTTGAGAGAGTGGTGAAACCTAAGAGAGGCTCAAACGGAGTACCCAACAGCCCCTACGGGTGAGCTCTTGATTTTTCTACTTTTCTTCGTTCTTTTCCCCTTCTCCCCTACCCTCCACCTTCCCTAAGCTTCCCTCCTTGCCTCCGGCCAAGACCTCCCTCACCTTCCCCTTTCTTTCCCGAACCTGCCAACCCCTCAACACCTCCTAAGCCGCCGGCCTCCCCAAACCCTTCCCACCGCCAGTTTTTCACAAGAATCCCTCACCCCCAGCCTCCCCTAGCCTTCACTAGTCGTCGGCCCCTCCACCGAATTACACTGGAATTTTGAGAAAATCAACCTTAATTACTTTCCTAATTTACCCCACTATTAATCTGGAAAGTCACATCATTTGAATTCAAATCTATATTTCAATTTCAAAAGCTTTCCCCGTTAATAAACTCAAATTAGGAAACCTTCCAATTAGATTAAATCTAAAATCAATCTCAAATTTAATGATATTTACAAATTAAATTCCCCAGGGCACATACATTGAACCTAGACATGTCAAACCCCTCCCCATATGGCCGGTCCCTATCTTCTCCCTTTCTCTCTCCAATTTACACCTAGATCTAATTAAAAGCCTCTTAAATTCCCCTTGGTTGCTGCCCCACCTAAGCCCAAATTTAGGATTAATTTGGATTTCAAATTAATCTATCCCTCCATAGAAAATCTGAGAATTAACTTCAGATTTCTCTCAACCTAAGCCTCTCTATTCTATCAACCTTAACCCCCACATCACCCACCATAATCCTAGCCGAAATTCTCAACCTCTCCAACTTGCCTCCACCTCTCTCCTCCTTAATCCTTACACAGAAAAGGATCATCTTCAAGACGACATCGCCTCCATGAATGGCCGATCCGGAACACGATCACGGATTCGTGTATGATGATCAAGGACGAACGGATCTTCTTTGATCCCCTTTCTTCGACTTTAACTTGAACGTTGACGATATCGTGGACTACTACGCGGATCGCATTCATTTCACATTGGTGCCTTCTATCGAAGAACATCTTCCAACTAGGAATTGGCGAGTCATCAGACGTCCATCTACTTTCCCTCCTCCGGCTGCTTCTCTGGCGAGCTATACTATTGGCACCACTTGTCTCTTAGTGGCATCACTAGGGTTGCTAATATTCTACCTCCGCTAAAACCCTCTTTTCATGAGCGAGAGTGAGGGAACTCAAGATGAAAACATTTATTTGTTAAGTCGTGGATTTTGTTATTCATAGCCATTTGTTTTACTTATTTATTTTTGTGTTATTTGCAAGTATCCTCCTAATCTAGTTTGTAACCGCATGCTATTACATAACTTTTAATTGAAAATTCAAGAATCTAACTTGGTGAAACATAATGTTTACAACTGACAATGCTTTTCCAAAATTATTATTAATTTCCAAAAGAAATTCCTGTTTTTTTTTTTCATGCATATTTCACATCAGCGGACTGCTCCAATCTCTTGAAATCATAGAAGTTGAAGAGAGAAGTTGTGTCTGTCTCTTAGTGTCGAGGTTGAGACAGCGAAGAGTAATTGATTGTGCTGTTTCCAATGTTGAATGGGAGAAAAAGGGGCTTTCTCCTTATAGATCGAGAGAAAGGGAGATGGGGGAGACCGAGAGAAATGAATTGAGAGAGAGAGCAAGGTAAAATCTAAATGCTGCTAGGATCGAGTATTTATGCAATTTGGAGAAGCAGTTATACTTACTTTATAATTGCAACTGTTCATCGGGTATTGTCCAAAGAATTTAAATAAGTGAAAGAGGAAAAAACATATATAATAGATACAACACTGCGAGAGAAAGGAATTTATAACATTTTTCTTAAATATATTTTAGATTTTGTGGCTTTTTCATATTTATAACATTGCGAGAGAAAGGATTTATAACATATAAAATTGTGAAAATAAGATTGACTATAGTGACCTTAGCACCCTAAATGAAAATAAAGATTTCTGTTTTTATCGGCGTATTAGTAAAATCGTAGTTAGAGAGGCTTTAAAAAAATGAAGGGTGGAAAAGCTGTGGACCTGATGATATTTCAATAGAGGTGTGCAAATGCTTAGGAGATGAAGGTATTTCTTGGCATACTAAACTTTTTAATACTATTTTGAAGACTAAAAAGATGTTAGATGAGTGGAGAATGAGTGTGTTAATTCCTATTTTTAAGAATAAAGGTGATGCACAAGATTGTGCGGATTATAGAGGAACTAAGTTAATGTGTCATACTTTAAAACTATGGGAGCGAGTTATGGAGCATAGGTTGCGGCGTGATACTAAGGTTTCTCAAAATCAATTTGGATTCAAGCCGAGTAGGTCGACTATGGAAGCCATACATTTATTAAAAGGTTTGATGGAGAAATATAGAGAAAATAACGAAGGTCTACATATGATATTTATTGATTTAGAAAAAGCATATGATAAAGTCCCAAGAGAAGTGCTATAGAGAGTTCTTGAAAAGAAAGGAGTTAATAATGCTTATATTCAAATCATTAAAGATTTGTATGCATGAGCAATTACTTGTGTTCAAAAACAAGGTAGTTTGACCAAGTATTTCCCTATTTCGATTGGGTTACATCAAGGATCAGCCTTAAGCCCATATCTTTTTGCTTTAGTCATGGATGTTCTCACAAGACATTTGCAAGAGGATGTACCTTGGTGTATGCTTTTTGCTGATGATATTCTTCTTGTTGATAAGACTATAGAGGGAGTTGAAAGTAAACTTGAATTGTGGAGGTCAACATTAAAGACTAAAGGTTTTCGCTTGAGTAGATCTAAAACGGAATATATGGAGTGTAATTTTAGTAGTAATAGACCTAGTAAGAGGATTGTGACTTTGGGTGATCAAGTCATTAATAAGAGTACACGTTTTAGATATCTTGGATCAATGTTCAGAGTGATGGTGAAATAGATGGGGATATTATCAGAAGAATTCAAGTTGGATGGTTGAAGTGGAGGAATGCATCGGGCTTGTTGTTTGATAGAAAAGTACCCCTCAAACTTAAGGGAAAATTATATAAGATGGTAGTGAGGTCTACAATGCTTTATGGTGCTGAATGTTGGCCATTAAAAGAGAAGCATAATATTAAGTTAAGTGTGGCAAAGATGAGGATGCTCAGGTGGATGAGTGGCTTTACCCTTAGAGATAGGATACGAAATGAGCATATACGTGAAAAGGTTGGAGTAGCTCCAGTAGAAGATAAGATTTGAGAGAGTCGCCTTAGATGGTTTAGTCACATAAAACGGCGGCCGTCTAATGACCCGGTTAGGAGAGTAGAGGTATTAGATTTGACTTATGTTAAGAAAGGTAGAGGCAGACCTAAAAAACCTGGTTAGAAAATATTAGGAATGACCTTTCTTTATTAGATTTAAACGAGAATTTGACATTTAATAGAACACAATGGAGAAAAAGGATTCATGTAGCCGACCCCAAGTAGTGGGATAAAGGCTTGATGTTGATGTTATTGTTGTTGTTGTAGATTTTGTGGCTTTCTCAATATATGAGAAATAGATTTAACAAATGAAATTTTCTACACATCAGATCGTTTGATCCCACCTTATTAATACGAACCTCTAGGTCGGGTTATGACAACTGACATATTGCAAACCAAACTACAAGTTTCCACTTCCATCATCGGCATATAAAAGACTTCCTTTTGGTTATTAATCTAAGTGTTACTAACTAAATTCATGCAATGAATAACGTGTAATGTTTTATGTTATTTAATCTTAGCAATCTTTAGCTTAGTTGTTGATAATTAATGTGTCATTTGAC